ATAGGTAAGTGGTACGCGACTTAGGGAAGTTTAAGGAGCTGAGCTGGTGGTCGCAAAAATTTGCCACAGACTGAATTCATCACTACACATGTGGGACGCACTTCCAGATCTAGTGGAGCCAAGTCATCAGCCCAGCCAGGCATTGGCCAATGTATGCAGCAGTGGTGTCGACCAAGCCGATAGAGTACTAGCGCTAGCGAAGTAAAATATGTTCACCGGCTGGGCACTATTGGAGCTAGTTTTGTTAGTGAACCACGTTGCGGCTGGGGAATTTTGCTACGCAACAGCTGTAGGAACTCTGTGAAGAAAGGCAGGAGGACACTTACTAGACAGGTAGAGATATTTCTTGAGACACATGGGCGGATAGAGTCATGTTGCAGTCTCATTAATGAGGACGGAGTGATATGAATGGATCTGACAAATAAATTAAGTCATGCTAGGTGGCTGCAAGCTGTAACCAAGTAGAGGTTTCGGTTTCAGCTAGATCGGTTAGAGGGTGTAAACAAAGTCCTATGCTAGGCTAGGAGCTGAATTTGCCTTTTATCGTCATCATCCAAGTCGCCCCGCCCGTCCAAAGATCAGGTCGGTTTCAAAGTGTGGCTCAAAGTCTAAGATTTGGGACGTATCTACCTTACCTATCCGTTTCGTTCTTTCGCTTCAAAAGGAAACTCCTGCGATCGACTTCGGCTTTTCGCTCCTCTTTATTTTGGCAGTACACATTATTTGAGACCCGGAAGATTCCACATCTCATTCCTCGTGCATCAATTGGCATGCATGGTATGTACAAATTGGATCCTGCAAGCCTTTGAGTGGTTCGACATCGTTCTCATTTTCCGACCCAAATAAACTTCTCGTGGAGGACCCTCCGACGTCAAGCTGTGGCTGAGCGTATCGCTCGCCCCTCGTTCCCTTCAGATTTGGTTCCTTGGTCTTTTCGTGTCTTCTCAAAACCTTTTATCTACTAGTCCCAATTTCTTTTCACAGGCCTCTGGCCCGAGGTCTTTCTTTCATATTTTCCCTTTTCTCCCTCTATCTAGCATTTCTCTGTTGTTTCTCGCTGTGGCTCGATTCCTTCTGTACAGCGAGCCTGTCGCTCCCTATTGCATCTTGGGTTCTTGGAACTTCCAAACAGGCCAAACAGGCCCCGACTTCCTTACCGCTAAAGGCGCAAACTATAGGTCGACTCGGCAATTCCTCCCCTAAGCGCTGGGGAGTGAGTCGACAGAGTCAAAATGGGCATCTACGACGATATGGCTGGTCTGCACCAGCTGTCCCGTCGTGCGGTAAGTACCAGGAGCTGCGATGGATTGCTGTCGCAATCCACCTTGGGTTTCAACGAAACACTGACTAACGCCTTCTAGGATGACAACCCCGAAGATGCGTCCAACTCGGCTTCTAGCTTGGTCTCTACTTTGGTTCCTGCCCTAGTGGTAGCTGTCATCATGGTCTTGGTCTTCGTGATTCTGCGGCGAAGCGAACGTCGCATGTATATGCCCCGAACCTATCTCGGCTTTCTGCGCCCTGAGGAACGCAGTCCCTCCGTCGGCACCGGCCTGTGGAATTGGATTACCGATATGTACAAGTTACCCGACGAATACGTTTTGCAACATCATTCTATGGACGCCTATCTTCTGCTTCGCTTCCTGAAATTGATTTCAGTCATTTGCTTTGTCGGCTGCTTGATAACCTGGCCTATATTGTTTCCCGTCAATGCCACAGGAGGGGCTCAAAAACAGCAGTTGGATATCTTGAGCATGTCCAACATTTCACAGGATAAAAACGCTCGCTACTTCGCCCACGCCTTCGTCGCTTGGATCTTCGTCGGTCAGTAAACGCTGTGCAATGGTATTTCACTATCTCTTTTTCTCGAGTTCTGATTGAGTGGCAGGATTCGTGTTCATGACTGTCACCCGCGAGGGCATTTTCTATATCAACCTGCGCCAGGCGTATTCCCTCGCTCCCGCCTATGCCAGCCGACTCTCATCGCGAACAGTTCTTTTCACAGCTGTGACTGAAGACTATCTCAACCGTGACAAGATCCGGAAAATGTTCGGCATTGAAAAGGTGAAGAACGTCTGGATCGCTACCGACACCAGTGAGCTAGAGGACAAGGTCAAGGAACGGGATGCTGCCGCCATGAAATTGGAAGCCGCCGAAACGAAACTGATTAAGCTTGCAAACGTTGCGCGAGCCAAGGCCCTGAAGAAAGGGGGAAGTGCCGAGGATGATGCTGTGCCACTTGAGAACTTGTCTGATGAGCCAGATGACGAATCGGGCTCTGTGGCAGCTCGCTGGGTCAAGGCATCGGAGAGACCAACGCACCGCCTGAAATTCCTTATTGGAAAGAAAGTCGATACGATCAACTGGGCCAGGTCAGAGATTGAGCGGCTTAGCCCGGAAATCGAGGAGCTCCAGGCTAAGCACCGTGCGGGCGATGCCAAGCTGGTTTCATCCGTCTTTGTCGAATTCTACGCTCAAGCGGACGCGCAATCTGCCTTCCAGTCGGGTATGTCTGGCCTTGGATTTGATTCCACGACGTTTTGGTGATCGTCAATGCTAACTAGCAATGGTCAGTTGCTCACAATCTCCCTCTGCACATGGCCCCTCGTTACATTGGTCTGGACCCTACACAGGTCATCTGGTCGAACTTGCGCATCAAATGGTGGGAGCGCATCGTCCGTTACTCGGCCACAATCGGATTTGTCTGCGCTCTCATCGTCTTCTGGGCAATCCCCGTTGCTGTTGTCGGTTCCATCTCGAACATCGATTCTCTAACAAACAAGGTCCACTTTCTCAAATTCATCGACCAAGTCCCCAGTTGGATCAAGGGTGTCATCACTGGTCTTTTGCCCACTGTTTTGATGTCCGTGCTCATGGCTCTGTTGCCCATTGTTCTGCGATGTAAGCCGGCTCTTCTCAAAGCCAACGTGACTACAGAGCTGTACTGATCGTGTGTTTCAGTGATGGCCAAGCTCGGTGGCGCTCCCAGCGCGGCAGCTGTTGAGCTGACTACACAGAATTTCTACTTCGCTTTCCAGGTCGTTCAAGTCTTCCTGGTTGTGACCTTGGCTTCCTCGGCTTCCAGCGTCGTCACCAAGATCATCCAGCAGCCTTCTTCTGCTCCCCAGCTCCTCGCCACGAGAATCCCCAAGGTTTCCAACTTCTACATTTCCTATATCGTTCTACAGGGTCTTTCTTTCAGTTCCGGTGCTCTGCTTCAGATCACCGGCCTGATCTTGGGCAAGATTCTGGGCAAATTGCTGGACTCTACCCCGCGAAAGATGTACAAACGCTGGTCATCCCTCTCTGGTTTGGGCTGGGGAACCGTATATCCTCCCTTAACCCTTCTTGCAGTCATCGGTAAGGCTCAGTCCTCGTTGCTGTTAAATTAGTTCCCTGCAGCTAACGATGTCGTGCCGTTGGGATTAGCCATCACCTACTCGTGTATCGCTCCGCTGGTTCTTGGTTTCGCGACCATTGGTCTGTACCTGTTTTATTTCGCCTACCGGTACAACATGCTCTACGTGTCCAACGCCAATATAGACACTCAGGGCAAGGCTTACGCTCTTGCCCTGCAGCACATTACTGTGGGCTGTTACTTGCTTGTGGTCTGCTTGATCGGCTTATTCGCCATCGGAACTGCAGCCAACCGGGTGGCACTGGGCCCCTTGATCTTGATGATTATCCTCCTTGTCTTCATGATTCTTTACCACATTTCTTTACATAACGCTCTCTCTCCTTTGATTAACTATCTTCCCAAGAATCTGGAGGCTGAGGAGCAGAGTCTTCTTCCCTCCGAACCAATCAAGCACGACGATCATGTTGGCGAGCACCCGGACGACATTGCCGCGACTAACTCAGGGAAGAATGGGAATAGTAATTTCCCGGATGTTGACGCTGCCGAGAAAGGCCTGACCACCGCCCCTGCCACCTCCGAGAAGAAGCCCAATCTGATCATGAAGTGGTTCCGCCCCGACAAATACGACGGATACTGGCAACTGCGGCGCCTTGTCCCCGAGGCTCATGAGACTACACAGTACCCTCCAGAAGTTGAACGCGACGCCTACTTCCACCCAGCGATTACCTCCCAGCCTCCACTTCTGTGGATCCCTCGTGATAAACTTGGGGTGAGCAAACAGGAGGTCAAGCACTCGGCACGGGTGATTCCCATCACAGACGAGGATGCTTGGCTGGACGATAAGAACAAGATCCACTGGGATGTTGATAAGGGCGTTCCTCCCATCTTTGAGGAGAAAATTTACTATTAAGACGCTGGTTCTCTACTCGCGAACTCCTTTTGCCGAGCCACCATTCTACAAAAGTTCGAAGTGGAATGTGAAGGTTTTGCGATGCGGAAGAGGTCTCGTCCTGCTGCTTGATACCCCCACCAGCCACAGGCTGATTGAATGTCACCGGTCTAATACTTTTTTTTGGACAAATATATAATCTAATGTATATTTTGGAGTGTATCCCTTTTGGTGGACGCAGATATCTAATGGTTTACTTTCGACGTTGTTGTCTATGATCCTTGGATAGTAATCAATCAATGAAATGTCTTTGTATTAAGCCTGCTTATTCTATAGGTTATAAGCCTAGAGCCTTCGGAGCTCTCTAGGGAATTATTCCTATCTTTCCTAGTCAACCCCGGAGTCTAGGGAAGTTCTGTAAGTCTTCAATTACGAACGGTAAAGACGCTCGACACAGATTCGAGGTCTTTCGTTCGTTTCGTTTTAGACGACCATTTCAATCTGATCATGCATTGGATGTGACTGATATTTCCTGCTCTTCGGACTTGGTAGGGAATGCCGTCTCATGACGAATCCATTCCGTGCAGCATCTATTCCGAAGGTCAACAAGTCCGAAATCTGCCCGATTTCTATGCAAAACGCGATCATGGACCACTGCTATGTGTGGGGTTTCTGACCGAGGAAGCCTCTATTTAGTGGTCCTACCGGGCCATCGTCTATTCAGTTATCGAACGCACATCACCATGGTCCATCATGGCCAAGTCGCAAGATGTTCCCGGCGATTACGCCCGCCCACGTTGGTACCGATGGTTAAATCCCCTGCAATGGGGAAGGATCCCGCCCATTCCGGATGCTCGCACTGTCACAAAGGAGTATGAGGCAGGATTTTGGAGTCAACTGGTGTTCCATTGGATGGGAGAGCACATGAGCGTATAGACACTGACCTCATACGATTGTTCACGACATCCTGACTGATCAAACACAGACAGGATACCACCGATCGCTTGAATACAACGATATCTGGCTTGTTCACCCCAAGCGTGCTACAGAGTCTTTGGCATCCCGGCTGATGGAATCCTTGAGCCTTCGGGTGTCTCAAAATGAGAGCAATCCCCTTCACTGGGCGATATACGACACGTTTAGACGAGACATCTGGTCAAGCGGACTCCTTCGGCTCGTCTCCGACCTCTTCCTCGTCTTTGCACCATTCACCCTGCGATATCTGATCAGCTTTGTTCAATCGTCGTATCCGGCATTGGCTGGTGGAGGCAGCAGCTCTAACGTGGGCATCGGTATTGGCCTGCTTGTAGGTATTATGGTAATGCAAGTCCTGCAGAGTCTCACCAACAGTCACTACCAATACCGAGCGATGCTCATGGGCGCTCAAGCAAGAAGTGCTCTGGTCTCCCTCATCTTTGCGAAGGCGCTGAAGCTGTCAAATCGGGCCAAGGCAGGCTTTCAGGATACAAACAGCAGTGAGAAGGATGGGATCGAGGGGTCCACGCGGGTAGCAGACGGCGGCTGGCCAGATGGTCGTATCATCAGTCTCATGTCCAACGATACTGAATGAATTTTCCAGGCTAGCAAGGTCATCCACCTCGTCTGGACAAGCCCCATTGCCATCATTCTCACCATGGTTCTGCTGCTAATTAACCTGACCTCCAGCGCACTACCTGGCATAGCTGTGCTGGTCCTTGGTCTCGCCGGTGTGACCAGGGCAGTTCGGACTCTGAACAACCGCCGGGACAACATCAATTCCGTCTCAGATGAGCGCATGAATCTAACGCAGGAAATCCTACAAGGGATCCGCTTTGTCAAGTACTTCGCCTGGGAACAGGCATTTGACAAGCGCCTCAGGGAAATAAGAGCCAGGGAGATCCACTCGCTCCAGGTCCTTCTGGTTATTCGAAGCGCGCTAGGAGCTGTCTCAATGGCCATCCCCATCTTTTCAAACATGCTTGCGTACATCACCTATTCGTTGACGGGACATTCCCTAGACGCCGCAATCATTTTCTCCTCCTTGGCGCTCTTCAACTGCCTACGGAACCCGTTGAATTGGCTGCCTATTGCTATCGGCCAGAGCGCCGACGCGTGGTCCTCTATGCGGCGGATTGAAAAGTTTCTGTTGGCGGAGGAGTTTCAAGACCAGGTTCTGCTCGATGAGCAGATGCATGCGGCAATCGAAATGCGCGATGCAAGTTTCACCTGGGAGAGGACGACAGAGAGCCAGAACGAGGTCCCCTTCAAACTTGAGCACGTCACTTTCCAGGCGGAACGAGAGGAGCTCATTGCTGTAGTCGGGGCTGTTGGAAGTGGGAAGACCTCGCTCCTCTCTGCACTTGCTAGCGAAATGCGCAACACGGCTGGGGTTGTTCGGCAAGGAGCATCAAGGGCGTATTGCCCGCAGCACGCGTGGATACAGAATGCGAGTGTACGCGACAACATCCTCTTTGGCAAAGAGTTTGACCCGGACTGGTATCACCGGGTGGTGGACGCGTGTGCTCTTTACCCCGACTTCCGCGAGCTACCCGCGGGAGATTCGACGGAGATTGGAGAACGGGGCATCAACCTATCTGGGGGTCAAAAGCAGCGGATCAATCTGGCCAGAGCCATCTACTCGCGATCTGATATCGTACTGCTCGATGACCCCATGTCGGCAGTCGATGCGCATGTGGGAGAGCACATTTTTCAGCATGCCTTATGCGGGCTTCTACAGGGCCGGTGTAGGATACTCGCAACACATCACCTGCACCTGCTCAGTCGCTGTGACCGAATCGTTTGGCTACACGAAGGACGAATTCTTGCCCAAGGTACCTATGAGTATCTGGTCCGGAAGAATGCACATTTCGGGGCCTTTATTGAGCGGTACTCGAGAGACCAGAGCAACGATCATCAAAGGGGGATTGGTGAACAGGACCAGAACGAAGGTGCGTTTCAGAATGCGCAACTTTCTAGTTCCCAGACGTACGAAGGAGGAGCCTTGATGACGACCGAAACGAAGGCTGTCAAAAGCGTTCCTTGGGGAGTATACGTCGCGTACGTCCGCGCCTCAGGAAGTCTTTTCAACGCCGCTTGGCTTATCGTGCTCCTGCTCGCCTTTCGGGCAGCGAATATCATGACCAGCCTGTGGCTCAGCTATTGGTCGGAGGACGCATACCATCTCAATCGGGGACAATACGTGAGAACTCTGCCCGTTAAGCTTGTCTTCAGTTGACGCTAATTCCCGCTGGCACGTAGGTCGGGGTCTATGCATGTCTCGGGTTGCTTCAAGGACTCTTGCTTTTCACCTTCTCCGTTCTCACTAGCATATTCGGAACGACGGCTAGCAAGCACATGTCCACGGTGGCCATGTGGCGCATACTCAGGTCCCCGTTGAGCTTCTTTGATACAACACCTTTGGGACGGATTACGCGGCGATTCACTCACGATATCAATCTCATGGACAATAACCTCACAGATCCGCTGCGCATGTACCTGGTGGTTTTGAGTATGATAATCGGTGTCTTTGTGTTAACCATTGCGTACTTCTACTATGTATGTACTGATTGTGGAAAATCTTGAGTTCTCACCATCTGACTCTGAGGGCAGTTCGCGGTCGCAATTGCGCCCCTCGCAATCATGCTTCTGGCGTGGACGGCGTATTATCGTGCCAGCGCGCGTGAGTTGAAACGGCACGAGTCCCTATTAGGATCGACCATGTATGCACGCTTCACAGAGGCCTTGGTTGGTGTGCCCTCGATCCGTGCCTACGGATTGCAGCGACAGTTTGAGAAGACCCTGGTCAATGCAATCGACAACATGAACAGCGCCCTGTTTCTGACCTTTGCCAATGAGCGCTGGTTATCGGTCAGGTTGGATGGGATTGGGAACACCTTGGTTCTCGTTACTGGGATCTTGGTAATCATAGAACGAGATCGGATCGCGCCCAGCATCTCGGGGCTGATCCTGAGTTACAGTCTGAGTATCGTTCAGCTCATCCAATTTACTGTGAGGCAGTTCGCGGATGTGGAGGCCGCCATGAATGCAACCGAGAGAGTGCAGGAATACTCGGACTTGCCCACTGAAGCACCCCTACGTCTGGGAAGAGTACCTGACTCTTGGCCTATGGAAGGGTCAATATCCTTCGAAAATGTTTCCATGGTCTACAGACCTGGTCTGCCGCCAGCGTTGAAGAGCTTTACGTTGAGTGTCGCCGGAGGCGAAAAGATTGGCATTGTAGGCCGCACAGGGGCAGGAAAAAGTTCAATTATGGTGGCTCTCTTTCGCCTGGTTGAGCTGCAAGAGGGACGGATTACGGTGGATGGTGTGGATATCTCAACGCTTGGATTGCACGAACTCCGGTCCAAAGTGACTATTATACCGCAAGATCCGATGCTGTTGAAAGGGACTGTCCGAACGAACCTAGATCCGTTCGGAGAGCATGCCGACTCTGCTCTGTGGGATGCGCTGCGCACAAGTAATCTGGCAGCAGTCCCTCCTCATTCGCGGGCCATGGCTGGCAACGAGCTTGGAGATGTCGCTCGATCCCATATCACCCTGGACTCTCCCGTTAGTGAAGAAGGAAGAAATCTCTCCCTCGGCCAGAGGCAACTTCTCGCCCTGGCGAGAGCCTTGGTTAGAAGCAGCAGAATCGTGGTGGTTGATGAAGGAACTAGCTCCGTGGATGTCGAGACAGATGCCAAAGTTCAGAGTATAATCTCAAGCGGCCTAGGAGGCAGGACCATTCTGAGCATCGCACATCGCCTACGGACGGTACTGATGTACGACCGCATCTGCGTGATGGAGAAGGGGACAATAGTGGAGCTTGGCGCTCCCAGGGTTTTGTGGGACCAACGCGGAATATTCTGGGGGATGTGTGAGCAAAGTGGGATCAAGGATATTGATTTTAGCAGTCACTAATATTGGAGACAAAATTGAACACAAATTGGCTTTCCTGATACATCATCTAGAAAGGAAGGCTCGCGGAACCCAACAGGGCCGGGGAGCGCCCAAGTCATACCTCGTCGACGAACAATGTCGGATAAGGTAGACTAGGAGCAACGAATACTTGACATGGAATGTAAATTCCACCATTCATTCCTATGGCATACCCTAACTAGCTCAAGGCCCAAGCACCGGTGGTAGATATACCAAACAATCCAGCAGCAACATAGAACGCCAGTCCCATACCAGCTTCCTCCATACCTAGGCCTGCTCTAAACGCCATAGCCAGCAGGGGCGATCCCACTAGGGTGCCAAAAATGAGAACCATAGCAAGGGAAGTGTAGAACGAAGTCACGGCCTCCGAAGGCAGCATTGATGTGCCGTACGATTGCAGGACATGCGGGTACCCGGATGACAAAGTGTATATGATAAGCGCTACAGCCATCAGCTCTGTCTCTGCTTCGCGTAATTAATGATAAAGCGCGATGACTTACACAATATAATGGATAACGGTGAACTAGAGAAGCCTAGCAGCGCGAGGCCCGTTACTCCAAACGCCGCGCTTGCTCGTGCGATCCACAGATCCACCCTGGACGGATGGACAGCATCATGCTGAACCAGTCGCGACTTGAACACCGGAAGTATGTACAGAAAGAGGATGAGGTTGAAGAGAGATTTAAGAGACACGATATAGTTCGCCTGACCAGTCAGTGACGAGATGTCTTCAGGATACTCCTTTTGGACGGACACTACCTTGGACAGGCTCCAATTCAGCCTTCTAGATATATATTGAACGAGAAAGTCAAGGGTTTCTCGTGCCAGCATCGAAGTCAAAAAGGAGACATGGACCAGGAAGAAGGGCCATTGACGGCGTAGGATTTGCCAGACCGAGTGTTGCGTGGCTGGGTATCCTGCTTCTCGGTCTGTGAGCGCGTCAGTTGGTTCCCGAAGAAGCTCTGTTTCCTTCGGAAGTATAGCAATCGCCACAAGCGAGATGACCTGCAGGGGGAGACCGGCGAGCAAAGGGGCGTACACCTCCTTGTCCATTAGAACGGATCCTATGGCCGGTGCAAATATTTCCGATAGCAATGTGGTGCTGGCCAGATGGAAGAAGGCCTCTGCCCTTTTACCTTCCGGAACAACATCCGCTAGGATGGCATGAACAATAGCAGAGAGAACCATCTCACCACCACCGACAGCCCTCAATATGATCGATACATAGACAGTCTCAAAAGGAACGAGGGGAGTGAGACGACATATCACAACGATCCAAGCCTCGGCGAGAACCTGGCCCCAAACTCCTAAGGTGAGCACCAGAGTCCGTCTTTGAGAACTAGCGAGCTGACCAAAGAGCCTTGCTGTTACCAGGGCTGTTCCATGACAATTAGACTCATTTCATATTCTACTACTGGGTGGCTGGAGCGAAGGTACCACATAGATTATCTCCTAGCTTCAACCATGCTTGGACGGCAACAAGGTCTTTCTGAATGGGAGCGATTTTGCACATGCTCTCAGGCAAGGCCATTTGTGATAGGTGCTCGAGTGAGCGTGCACTATAATAACGCTCGCAAAGAATCGATTCAAAGAGGCGCACCTTTGGAGTGGCCCGCATTACTTGTGCCCAGTCCAGTAATATAGCACATGCATAGCACAAAAGTGGCACTTTCCATGCTTGCCAGGTGGCTTTCCCACGGTCTTCCTCGGGTGCGCTGACGCAGCTGGAAGGGAGAAGGGGACTGTCCTCCTCCATGCTGAGATTGTATGTTGATTGCTCCATTGCGCGCCAGATTTTGGCTATTATAGATAGTTTGGATATCTGGCGACGTGGACATGTCGACTTATTCCGAAGTTTAGACAAACATGCTATTCCGAGCTCCGTAGCACCCATCATTTATTCCGGCGGAAGCCAACAGCGGGTGTTTTATTGAGTCAATCAGGGAGTAGAATGAGCGCGGCGCAGTTCACCTGCATAATCGCAAGCTACTCAAAGCTGGGATTGTGTCTTGTTCCTGCACGTCCGTTTTATCAGTACCATTTTAAGGCAGCATATGTTATCTCTCATTACTACCCGGTCTGGGACCATGCTCTCTCCTATCACAGGATCATACAACGCTCGCGAGCGTTTCCTCTCTGAATTCCAGCACCTTCTGACCATCCATCACTGTTATATAAGAATCCTGGAGGAGTCGAATTGTTTCCGGTGACTCTCTACAATGACCATCATTCTTCTCAGATTTGTCAAGAATCCTGCCCTTGAGGAAGACTTTGTGTACGTCACAGACGCACTTCATCAGATCAACCCAGATCTGCGCGAAACCGAGCGAACAGAGAACACCATCACCTTCTCCTCCCCAGATCACAACACTGATTTATACGGCACTCTATTGCAGGCATGGCTCAATCCCCCCAATCCCATCATCGACACATACCGCATGCTGGCGGACTAATGGTGACTGCCCTCGCCGTGATCGCCATGGTCTGCCCTGCGTCCGCTCTTTTCCTACCTGCTCCCGCCAATGTGACCACCGTCGATGGATCGGACCTGCAGTCAAGTTATACTTTCAATTGTTATTCAGCTGGACAAGCTTGCCGTGGCAACGGGGACACGCACGGCCGGGTCTTCGACTTTCAAGGTTGATCTGAGTTCTGGAATGTATCTTACCTGGTGCAGGGAAGAAGACGCAAGCCTCTCTCCTGGTAACGGGTGGGACAGAATCAAAGCAATGGCAGTTCCGTTCCTGGAAGGTCCAATCGGCCATGCTATGGTTAACAATATCCCTGTGTCTGATGATGTCGCTTTGGTCAGATCACTTACGCACAGTCCGTCGGCTGATTGCTCCAACGCTAGTATGATGCCCGTGAGCCGGGAATCAGACCCCATGCACACAGTCTGTAGACTGAGCCCAACGTGGGGGCAATGCCTCCGACAGTACAGAACTGTAGTTACAAACGGGGAGGCCTACGGAAACACCAAGTCTGTGTGTTCACCCAGTTAGCCTGCGCCACAAATCAGCCTCTCTCCAAGCTCTATGAAACAGTGGGTATCGCGTTGGCGACTTTGATGCAAGTACGAAGCCAGAAATGATTGCTCGGGAAATGTCACTGCTCGGGATATCAGGCAGTTGCAATGGAGGATCGTACTCATCAATCATGAGCACTCGGCAACTCTCATACTGCACGACCAACTTGAACCACTGCGTCCAGGTAAAATATCTCATGGGCCGAAATGTACATATTCCGTCTCAGTAGGAACATATGCAAAAAAGTACAAGGAGCAAATTATGATCATATAGTGGATCCATTGTTGTTAAGATGCTTTCTACAGTAATCAAGCCTCCTCGCCAGAGAAGACATCAGAATACCCCTCACCTGGGTTGGAGAAGCAGGGATTAATCTTGCTATAGGCTTTTATATGATATGCTATGCTAGAACCATGCCACCCGAGTCGCTAGAAAAGCCTTCCGTCGCAATCGAATCCCTGGCAACGCTTATCATATAAACCGGAATAAAACGCACGGCCACTCACTCCGACTCGGAATGAGAAGAGACCAGCTCCCTCTGTCCCCTCAGCGTTAAAGAAACGGCGCCCGAAGAAAGAAATCGTGGCTCGGGGAGGGGCTGAAAATTCCAGGAAATATAGATTTCATATTATTTATTATAAATATATATATACATTTCCCTCCTCTATTTTTCCTTTGCATCCAGACAAGCACTGATGATCCGCCGAAACGGAAAGTCCCCTTCATGTGAGCCATGTCGCATCGCAAAGGTGCGGTGCGACCATGCGGCCCCCATTTGCCAACGTTGTGAGACCAGAGGAACAGGCAATCTTGTGGGTTTCTATGGCCGATAGTACCTGTTTAATCTGAGCTGTGCCTGACTAGCCGTAGTGCTACTACCATCCAGCTCCCCTGACCCGAGTCCGAGACAAACAGGTCCGCGCTCGACGCGCACGACAGCGCGGAAACCAACTTGGAAACCGGGGTGAGACAAGAGATGCACAACTGACAGAGCATCACGCGAAGGGGCTGCCCTCCTCGTCCCCGAGCGGTACAGCAAGGACTCCTGGGTCGGAAACCTCGCAGTTTTTGGGCTCAACAAGCTATTTGGCTGTATTGAAGGAAAACCCTCTGTCCGTTCTGCCATCTCCCCCATCCAGTCGATGCCTCCAGGATGAGTTCGAGCACTGGCGGACTGACCATGCGTACGCATCCGCTCGACTCATCCGCCTTGTATCTGCGGCTGCATTCCATTATGAACAAATTGCCTGGTACTACGAGAGGGGCCGGTTTACCATAATCCCCGCACCTTTGATACTGGGTCCGCTGGCAGACTTGAAAGAGTATGTGCAAGTAGAGTCCTGGGATGGTATCAGTAACTGGGAAACCTTGCACAAAGAGATCTCTGCTGCAAGTGCCATTCCGCTCCAGGTCAACGCCACTACGTCTCTGGACGACTTCCGCATGATGGTCAGTGGGAGAAGACTTCGGTGGGAGTTTGTGGGCTTGATGCTTGCATTGGCAGGCATTAGTGTACAAGGTCGTTACCCCAGTCACCACGTCATTGACCTAAGGAATGGCGAGCAGACGGACGTGGAGACCTTCACCAAGGACATAGTGCTTGCATGTAATGCCTGCCTTGAACTTTGCAGTAGATATGAACATGCCAATGATGTGATGGTGTGGATGCGGTACATGCACATCTACCTCGGAACGGAGGTTTTGGGGGAAACCAGTTAGTTGTCCAGCCTCCTTGAATCGAACGTTGACTATTCCGCCCTTGGCTGTACGGTTTTGGCTTATGCGGCCTCGCGACAGGTGAACGGGTCTACAGGCTGTTTGGTGACCTTGTATCCAGTATCTATGCAATGGGGTTGCATCACAATGAGGACAGGAACATCCCCTTCTATCTGTCCGAGACTCGCAAACGCATGCTTGCAGTGACACACAGAACCGACAAAAACATTGCTACACTGCTCGGGAGACCCCCTCGTCTTCCCCATCACTACTGCGCCGTAGAACTGCCATGGGATCTGGCTGATGAAACCCTGTTCCTAGATCAAGAATCTATCGAGATGGCGCTTCTTACCTTGGACAAGGAAGGCTGGAACACGGCTGGACGATTTTACCCGGCTACCGTAATTCGCATGCGCCAGATCCTGTCGGTTCTGCGCGAGCAAGTACTTGATCTATCATTAGGCCATAGAGGAGAGACTGGCGGTGGAGATCGGCTTTTGTATACTTCACTTTCCCTCTGTCTCTCCGATATCTGACTTTTTACTCGTTAGGTTCGCCTACCAAAGGTGTCAAGACACCTGGGAAAAGATACCTGAGCAGTTCCGGTACCGTCCTGAGTGCTGGGGAACAATGGGTGCTGTCGACTGTTTGGCCCGCGTGATCGTGCATTGCGAGTACTTGCTCAGCGTTTTTCAACTCCATCGGATTCGCTGCCAAGACAGTCTGGACGGAATCAAAGATCTTCTGGACACATCTATGAAGATTTTATCTGTGATTGTCGATCTTACGAGACAGTGCCAGCGGCATGAAGTCCGAAAACAGCTCCCCTGGATAGTATGTTTTGCTGCTTTTGTTTCCTCGCGACGTTCCCCCTTACGTCAGGGACCATGACTGACGTTGGAAACAATTGTCAAGTGTCTGATCTATGTCATACCCGCCGCTGGTGTGGTGGTTACAGAGATTCACCGTCACACACTCTCGAACCGAGCCCTGCCATCTTCAATGCCTCGCTCCGAGATCATCCGCACTCTGAGTTTTGTAATATCGTGGTTTCAAACATCTGAGCTGCCGTCGACAAGCTCTTCTACAGCATGTATGGAGCTTATCAACCTTATTAGCCGGCTTCTAGACAATTCACTCGACTACCAGCCCGTTTTGGCGCATTCCAATGTCTCTGCTCCCGATATTGCCGGGAATGGGGCAGGAAGTACAGAAACTGGCAATACACCCGGTCTGCAGCAAGGAACCAACTTTGATAGCGTATCGGACGGGATGACGCTGGAATCAGGAGCCCGACTGGATGCGAATCTGGGACTTGAACTCGCGAGTGAGGATTTCTTGAGTTGGTTGGATGATTTGGATCTTGACCTTGTGACTCCGGATTGGATTTTCTTGGGAGAGTAGAGAAGTTCTCATTGGTAGTATTAGTTCCTCATGATAAGGGTAAATACTTCTCTCCTGTCCATCCACATTCGTAGTTGCATGCGTAGCGTTGCGATGGTCACGTGCTGGAAGGCATCCATATGCATAGCAGGCCAACGGATATCCCTCGTCGCTCTGCGAAAACAGACTCGCTCATCAAGTTGTGGCTTGGGATTGAGCGTGCAAGAGAATACTGGAGATAATCATTCCTGCTAGAGCCACGGTAAACGTAGACGACATCCGAAGTGTCTTCATGATGTAAATCTAATAGGTCAGTGTTCTGTCCCGTCAGGCGGGTCAGTATATAAAAATAGGCCACGGATCCTATAGACTGGGATCTTGTTGACAACTCACGCATATCACCACGGTCAAAGCACCAGTAATAGGTAGGTCTGCGGAGGGATCTCAGCCGCAATATATTAAGCCGAGGTTTCCTCAGACCACCACCCGACCGGCAATCCGGTGATTGTTTGCATTGGATCCTTGCTTGATGCTCTTTACCACGCCATCAACAATATTTTGATCTGTGCTGCTGAGAGAAAGCGGGGTCTCTCATAATGGACCGCCACTGATTGCATGTTTTGCACCTCCGTCACTTTGGGTTATTTATTCTCCTTTCTCCTCAGCGTTCAACTGTAACTCTCCAATCCCACGGTGATGTGGTCTGAAACACCGATTGTTTCTCTCCATGACAATTGCCGGTCAAGTCGGGAAAACGGCGAGCTAGCGGTGACGGAGGACCATTTTCCATTTTCGGCAGATGCTGGTCTCACCTATGCTGTTGCTAGCCCCAAGAGGGTCCTGCAATGTCATGTTTAGTTATGCTGACAAGATGATTAGACTATCACCTGCAGATGCGATGTAACCCTGGTCTCACGATGCTTGCGGGTTCAGAAGTCATACCTGGGGTATATATAGCCTCAAGTTTCGAGCACTTTTGAACTCGAACCAACAGGTCAAGGAACTGTCGCACCCCTCAAAATGATCAAACCCTCTATCCTCGGGGCCTTGGCCCTGCTCAGCTGCGCCCTCCCCAGCAACGCCACACAGATCTTCCGCAACACCGGCACCCTAGCGGGCTGGGACTCCGTCAACCACGAACACTCTGGTACCGTGCAGGAGGCCAACAACGTCGCCTACGAGGGCCCCACCTCCCTCAAGATGACCCAGGTCTACGACGCGAGCTACACAGGTCGCTACCACTCCGAGGTCGTCAAGAACAACGTGTACAAGCGCGGCGACACGGGGTTTTACGGCTTCACGTTCCGCCTACAGCAGGACTGGCAGTTCTCCCCGGCGCAGTCGTACAACATCGCGCAGTTCATCGCGGACTTCTCTGACACAGGCTGCGACGACTACATGCCCTCGAGCATGGTCTGGCTGGTCGGGAACCAGCTCTACACGCGCGTCAAGCAGGGGACTATCTGCGCGCAGAAGACCCAGACGTTTAGTAACCTTGCCACGGTTACTGCGGGTGAGTGGCACAAAGTGATTATCCAGGCGAGTTGGAAGACGGATGGCACGGGGTTCTATAAGATGTGGTTTGATGGGGTCAAGGTGCTGGAGAAGTATGATATCAACACGACGGTGGAGGACGACCGCGCATTCCAGTTCCGGGTTGGGCTGTATGCGAATGGATGGCATGATGACAAGGGCATGAAGGGGACGCAGGGGACAAGACAAATCTGGTATGATGAGATAGCGGCAGGGACGACTTTTGCCGATGCGGATCCCGCCCAGTGGTAGGCATCACCGAATCTCAAGCATGATTCCAAAAATGCAAGGTGTACAGGTTCAAAAAACGAAACGACATCCGCGGATAGATGATGGTGACCGAATGGTATTGGGAGAAACTGCCAAGTCCCTAATCTGCTGCTAGTGCTCAGTGTTTCTGGCAAGATATGAGATGGCCAGTTCGCAGCTAGGGAAATTGACGCCGACTTGACCCTTTTCACTAATTCAAGGCAAACTCCACTTTGTGTGCAGAAGTGAACCCCGTAGGCCCGTAGACTATCTAGCGTCTGTGTTCAATCGTTAGTCCGTATTAGGACCAGGTCCATCCCACGTGTGTTATGAAAGCTTAACCTCAATCCCTGATTCGAGACACGGCATAATTGGCCCCGTTCATGTTCCTCCCCTGAATCCTTGCAAGTTGCGATTCTATGTTTGTTTTAGATCCCTTATGACTTTGTATTCTCGATTTTCAACACTACCGCTTCTCTGCCAGCTTTTCATCAATAATATTCTAAATACATGTATATTGGTCAGTCAAGATTGCCCCCTATTGAGGCAATGACGGAATGAACATCAGAAGCAGAGCAGGTCTGTTCGTTCCGGCTGTGTGGTTTGTTATCGCAGATCATTCCACTTGACGCGCACCGCACCCCATCGGCTGCATGCTGATTGGCCGTTTCTTGAATCGTCTGGCTGGCAATCTGCGACAGGGGTCCCACGTGATATCATCGTGGCTTTCATCTTAAGTCTAGCACATAGACATGCATACTCCAAAAAATAGTCTCGATTCTAATAGCTGATCCAAATTCATGGTCCAGGAAGAATAGTTGAAAGTCAAACCCCCGAGTTGCTTTGATGCTGGCCCTACTACATACCGTGTATGGATATCTGAAGTTTCTGAAATCCTGAAGAATTTTCTGTCTCTGAGTGGTCCACATCTACGTAATGCTGAAGATCAGACACTGGGATTTGCCATTTGCGACCCGTAAATCATGAAGATCTTGTTAGGTTATGTGCATCCGGAACGGTAGAGAGTAGATGACGGACCATTGTATGTAGTTGAGGGAACGTGGTTGGATACCCGTACCTGCCGTTTGTCCACCAGTCCAGGGACAAAAGTGGACCTGGATTTCCACATTTCAGTCTTTCTACTCTTGGACCCTCCATGCTTCTACTCCCTAAGCGTTTGCGCTTGGATTGCTTGTTTGGATAGATTTTGGCAATGTCTGCAGAATTACCAACCGAAAATGAAGTTCACAATCACTTCAGGTATATTAGGAACAGTCACGAGCCTCGATAGGGCACTATTCTCACCGTCGAAAGTCAGTGAAGTAGCATTGCACTGACAGCAGGATAAACTTTGGCCATCCGTGGAATGCGTGGATGCTTTAGGATTAGGATTGCGTGCCACCGACCCACAGGGATCTTTCAGGTGGAAATCGAAGAAGGCCTTGATCAAGCTATCGACCTAAAGCGTTCGCAGTTTTAGTCGAGGACATGGCGAATCCAGCATGGCACTTCTTCTCCTCAATCTCTGCGAGGGACTCAGGGTCTCTTGAGCACCACGTATCATATCATCCACTATAGTAAGTGATACTGCTAAGCGTTGCGGACCCGGTCCCCGTTCCTGATCAACATTGGTCAGTGGATTGCTGGATTGCCCAGTATGAAACATTCCCCCATGGACCGCTACCTTGGTAATGATGTATGCTCATCTGTCTGAAGCAATTGCCTTAGATGATCGTCCGGCGCATTGGTTAAATGCATTTCGCCCTCCCTTCCCGGAACCATGCAGGCAATCAACAAGATGTTGATGCACCGGTTTGCGCGCCAAGGCCTCCTGACGGCGGTCTTTTTCATGCTCTTGATCACAGTGTGGTCATTGAACTTGGATTTTCTGATATCAAATGTAAGTCATGCGCTTGCCTGATCGGAAGTAGAGGACTTATCGTCAATTCTTGAAAACAGAGACGCAAGAACGCGCAAGAGAGGTATCTTGAGGAAGAAAGGCGTTATCCTAGGTGTGCACATGTTCTACCAGTGATCACAGCCAGCAACTAACGTGGGATCCTTCGTGTGTATAGTGTGTTCGGCCATGTCGTCTCCACATTGAACAGGTTAGCCGTCCCTCCGAGTCACGACAACCGTACCATCCTCGAAGATCCTCGTTTCGAAGGAGAGCAAGGCAGCAAGATCCCCGGGATATACCGACCATACCCAGACTATAGCAGTCAAGAATGGCAGAACACGCACCGGGGGTCGTTTGTCCCATGCGAGGGCCCGCGTGGGAAGCTCCTGAATGAGAGTTTGGATGATCAGGTCGGCGTTTACGTTGGCGTTCCCGACGGTAGGCTTTCTCTGTAGTTTTGGAGGGAGGTCTTGCTACGCTGGGAATGCTGACTTGTAGGCCAGAGTTCCCATCCCCTATGTTTGGTAGCCACGAGGCCGTCGGGTTCAATGGTCAGGTTTCCTTTGACCGCTACACTAGATATGGTGCTTATGGCTTGGGAGAGGACGAAAGTCATGTCTCCAACTGGATCAAGCCATCCAAGGTCAAGTGGAACGAAGTGGATTGGTCAGACCTGCAACACCAGTGCTATGATCGCAATGCCGCCCGATTCTCTCAGAAGGATGACGGTCTCTCCGAAGAAAAACAGCATATCGCGCCCGAGTCTCGAAGTGCTGTCCTAATTCGCACCTATGTTGGAAAGAAGTACACCGAGAATGATCTTCAGGTCATCCGCTCAATGGTCACTGAGCTGTCGCTACAATCAGGAGGGGAGTACTCTGTCTTCTTGCTCCTTCACGTCAAGGACTCGAACCTCCCCATTGACCAGGTTGAAGTATACCAGAAGGTTCTTACAGACAATGTCCCTGAAGAATTCTGGAACATGACCATTCTCTGGAATGTGCCAATGGTTGCGGCCCGGTATCCAAATCTCGATCACAATGTCATTGAGTACGTTCACATGGCAACTGCACCACTGATCGAGTCAGAGCTGACGGTTGTAGTGTCCATCATGCGCAATGGCTCTCCATTCAACATTTTGCCCTGCAATATCCCGACTTCGACTTTGTGTGGAACTGGGAGGTCGATGCTCGCTTTACGGGCCATCACTATGAATTCGCCAACAAGGTAGCTGAGTTTGCTCGGCAGCAACCACGGCGGGGAATGTGGGAGCGCAATGCTCGCTTTTATATCCCGGCAGTGCATGGTGACTATGATGGTGCTTTCCGAAAGTTTGTGG